TTGAACTGGTCTGTCGGGCAAGTGACGTTAAAGTGACGTGGGGAAATTTATAGTGTTGCGATTACCGTCTGGAATGGTTTGTTATGGAATCTATGGTAAAGTGGGTTATATAGGAATGGCTTTAGGCGGTTTATTTTGACTTGATATCAACATCGAGACTTTCTACCAACACTAATCACCCGAGAGTGTCAGTGCGCCCCCATCGCTCGAATATCGCTCTTGGCAGTTTCCGCAAGTTCAGAATCTGCTTTCGCATTACCGTGGGTCCTCCTGGCGCCACGATGGCACATTCAGCGTTATTATGCTGACGCTACTGTACTGACGCTATTATGCTGATCTCGTTAGAAAGATGGAATCATGTGCTAATACAGTGTCTCTGGTGCATCGACTGACGTCTGTAGCTGCGGTCAACTGAAGCTATGCATAATACCTACTTGTGGTTGGAAACGTGACTCGCAGATTGCTAAGGGCGGGCACCTCGAGAAGCGCCAGGACGCCCCCCCACACCCCCCCGATCTGAACTACCGTCAGCCGTCATTATGGGTGATTCAAGAACTACCTTATGACCTAATTGGCGTGGGTACAAACATGCACACTGGGCACGCTACCTGAAGCTCGTTTACCAGTTTGTCCGTCACCTTCGAACAGGTCATGGGTTCCGGGGCCCAGTTCATGTGCTGGCTGTTGAAGGAATTGAAAGACGACATGGGACTGAAGGTGTTGAAGCGGTACTGCTGCCCCATCGTGGTAGACATCGCGGCCATGGTCATTGTGTACCACTAGGTGATGGAGTGACGCGACTACTGACGACCACGATGACGAGGGCGACGGAGGGGAGACCTCGGCTCGCTGGGCTGGTGACGGCGACGATGATGACGATGACGACGACAACGACGGTCTTGCACGAGCACGTTTCTATTATGCTTTCGTTGGTGTACTAATTTTTTTCAAACGTATTGTACTTGGTTGGTGTTTTCTTGTACTCTGTATAGAAAGTTTCTGACTGATTTATTTACTTTTAACTTGTTAAATTTACGTATATCTATATATTTTTAAACGTGAGTTCACTGGTTAACGTTCTTTTTTTCTCTCTCTCTCGTTAAGTCACGCATTGAGTATTTCTTTATCACTTAGTTCAGTCACTTTGGAGCGCGAGCCCAAGAATCTTTGGTATGGGGTCAGGTACGCGCCGTCGACAAGCGTGGCAACACGACCGTTCTTTGGTTGAGTGCGGGAGAGTAGATGAATGAGCACCAGCGGCATCACATGGCGGGGCTGGCGACTACTGATGCTTGTGTCCCTGCCTGGCGTGGTGGCTGGCTGACTGGCTGGCTGGCTGGCTGGCTGGCTCACTCCCCGGGCTGACGGAGTGGCGGGCTAGCACACACACACACACACTGGCGGCGACCGTCGAGCTGCGGGACTTAGTCTCTGGCGGCCGCGGTGGGACGCTCCCGAGCCGTTCACCTGCCACCCGCGCTGCTTTGGGACAAAAAGGGCCGATCCCACACCCTCACACACTGCTGCAGATAAGTTTTGTTTCGTGCGTGGCCACCATAGATGGTTCGGACTGTGGCCAACGACCAGTTTTTTACCACGCCTCCGTCGATGTCTCGCAGAAAAGTGGCGGGCAGAGGAGGAAAGAATTGCACGTCTTTACCGCGGTGCCTCGCGACGCCGAGTGGGGGGGGGAAAAAGCGGGGTAAAAAACCCTCTCTTGAGCTACTAATAAGACGCGAGTCTTCTAAGCATGTGCAGCACGGCAGTTCTTGAGCCAAGCCTCGTAATTAGGGGGGTGAAAAAAGGCGGCTGATTGGTCGTGAGCGGCGAGGGGCGGGGTGGGGCCGAGCCTGGATGGTTCCGGCCCGACCCCTCGCGGCCCCCGCCCCCGATCCCCCCCAAACCCCCCTTCGCGCACGCGCACACCGCACGCGCCCCCGCTTCCCCCCCGCACCGAGACGCACACACGCACGCACGCTCCCAGCCCTGCAAAAACCCAGGTCTTGGACGGAACCGCCTTCTCCCTCCTAGAGTTTTACAGAGTCGACTCTGCAGTATGAATTATTCACGATGTTGCCGCTAATATTCTGGCACTGCAGGTAGCTGAAGCCGAGCACAAGTATCATATACTACAACTCTTTTAGTATATCTTGCCTCCTATTTTATCATTAAACAAAGCAAAATAATAGCCAAAAAGATAAAGTCTAAACTTTGTAATAACCCGAGTGACGAAGTGCATTGCTAGCAAGGGGTCGGGACTCGGCAGCTCCGCCCAGCCCCGCCGGCGAGCACTGGCAGTGAGTCCCGGGGAGGGGGAGGGGGAGGAACCTCTGTCACCATCCACACCATCAGCACTATCACCACCATCACCACCTCCGCCCGCACAATGCATGAAAAATAAATTGTACGGCGAGAATACGGTGGCGAGCAGGAAGGGCAAGAGCCTACTGATCATCCTTGCCCTCGGAGAATGGATGCGAGGTGCGAGGGCAATAGATGT